GGTACAGACTGGGGATGCACACCACCACAGTTCCGACGTCAAATAAACAAACAATTAACCGACGACATTGCACCATAGAAGCCCTAGCATATCAGCATATGCAGATGGAGGTCGTGAAAAGCATTTCATCAAAACATCATATTTAAATGTCTCTACCCTCTCTGACCGCCTGACTCACATTCGTGTTCTAGCACTCCATGAATCATAATCACCGCACCGACATTTGTATCTGTCGTCTGCTGCCGCTGCCAGAGGTCATTTATCGTGCAGTGATTCAGAGGCGTGACCTTTGACACCTAGTGAGGCGGGGGGGGGGGGGGAGGGTGGTCACATGTGGCCTGCACGTTGCACGTGGGAGCATCGTTAGGGTGACATAGATTTGATTTGAAGGAGAGCAATTTAAACGTTGATTTGCTGTGCCAGTAGGGGCTAGAGTAGTTTAAGAAGATCGTTAGGCTAACGATTTATTTAACGACATAGCTGTCGGCTGCTTGCTACATAAGAATAATGACCATACTCCAAAACGCATGTCATCGACCAACGATCCACGAATAAACATTGGACAAATAATCTCATTCATTTGAAGTTAAAACGAGTCGAGCTTACAATTGGTTCGCCAGAAAATAGAAGAAATGCATATGAATTACGTTACGTCTTAAAAAATGAAACTCCAGAAGTATGAAGTTGGTTCAGTTGACGGCCAGCGGTCACTGAATTCTCCCGTGATTGACACAAAGCTCGGAAGCACAGGCAAACCTCACTCACGCATAACCTTGCAACTTCGTACTGCACGTCATTACGCAACATATGCAGCCTCCGACGGTTCTCTCATCTCTGCTCCGCGTTCAATGTTTAGTTCAACGAGCCTTTTGGCCACCAGCCAACACCGCAATAGCTCTAGATCGAAACCGCAGAGGTCTGTAGTGTCTGAGAGATTGAGGTAGGCATTCGGGAAATGTTTGGTTGGTATCGGTGTGGAGTATATCATTACCAGTGAGTCATGTAGCCTATAGGTGAACATGGAATTTAAAAGTGACCGTATTTTGGATGCAGTAAATGTTTGTTGTAATTGATCTATTATCAATTTTCTAATGGGCTGGATCTGAATGTTTGTCTTTAGATATACTGCATGCAACTTGTTTTCCTGGATGTGTTTCTGTTTGCAATAAAGAGCCTTACTTTCGACATCAGTTTATTATCAATCAAATAACGATAGAGAGAAGACAAAACCATAGCCATCCCCTTCATTGTTCTCTCAGCACTAAGACTGAGATTCAGTCCTAAGACCACCTCTATCCACCCCCTTTCCAGCTCCTCCCCTCGCCCTCCCCCGACCCCCTCTAACCTTGCCAGTTTCGCCTTGGCCTCACTTTTGAACCGTGTCCAACCGAACATGGGCAGCTTTGTCTCCCTGTAGAACAATGGCCATGCAATGGTCTGCGCTGACTTCAGATGGTGTAGGGTACACTGGGTACACTGTTATAGGGTGTAAACACTGCCACCAGGTTCAGTGTTTGGGTGTGTGTTGGATCGCGGCTATCGCTAGGGTACGAACATAGCCGGTTAGCTAGAGAGAAGGTGGTATGCGCTAGAACACAAGACTAAACACTGACAATTGTGGGGTGGGACAATGGAATGGTGGTGGCCGGGTGTTGGGGGCTGATATCTCGCGTACTGAGGCGAGGTAAAACGTTATGCGTCAGCTCAACACACCAGAGTGATTGTTCGTAAATTGTCAACACGGTGCCACGCCAAATGATGAGCTGTGCCTTTGTTTTCATCATAGCCATAGTCCCGAGCTGCAGAAGTGTTGTGAGGTTAGGAGAAGGGAAGTGACAATGTTGCATTGCTGTGAAATAGCCCATTGCTCGAATGTATTAGTGATAGCGCTTTTTTCTCCCCTGTTTATAGTGAGGTGGATCTAACGTCTGTTCCAATACCCTCTAGAGACCCGAGAGCAAGTTTACAGATAAAAAAAGACGAAATTTGGGATATAGTCTGCTTAAGTGGTGTGATTGATAAATTTCCAGTCGTTTTGGCCATATGCCCCAATGCGCATGCGCAGTGACCTGTATACTATAGTATACATTCGGTTTCAGAACTTATTTTTTTGCACTTGGTTGTTAATATTAAAAGTGATAAATATGCTTTTTAAGGGTCGCATGGACAATGTCTAGCAATGTGATGAATGGGCTGATGTGTTCTAATTCTAATCTAAACCTTTTGGGGTGATATCTGCATGGAAAAAAACATACTTGTTGTTGTAAACATACTCAGGAGCATTGGGGGTGACATCTTGATCACCTAATTCGAGGTCACTCTCACTGTCGGACCCAGGAGCAGGATCGACTCGAGGGATATACTCGTCTCCTGAATCAGAGACATCTAGGTCGGATCCGGAACAGGGGGCGTAGCCAAGGGGGGTGGGCATAGGGGCCATGCCCCCCCCTGGAGCCCAAAAGGGCCCCCATCGTGGTGTCATAGTACGGTAAGGGGCACAATAAAAGTAGCGTAAGGGCCCCTCGGGGCACTCCATTGGGTTCGCGGGGGCCTTTCGGGCCTGCGACCTTGCCTCTAGGGCCCTCTGGGCTCTCTTCATTGGTTATAAAAGGGCCCTTCGGGCCTGAGGCTTTGCCACTGGGCCCCTCGGGGCCTCTCCATTGGGTTCGCAGGGGCCCTTCGTAATTTTAAGGTAGTTAAGCAAATAACTACGTCATGATATTAAGAAAATGTTGGCCTCTTCGCTCACATGGGCCCCTTTCGGTCTGATTGCCCCCCCCTGAGGAAAATTCTGGCTACGCGCCTGGCCCTGTCAGGCGTTCAGGGGCCCCTTAGGGTCCTTAACATGCTCAGAAAGTTTTCCTGTAGATCAGAGAACCCGTCACGCGCGCTCAGGCGCCTCTTCATGCACTTAGAGGGCCCTGTCGTGTACTCAGAGAGCCTTTCTGTGGCTTAGAGGGCCCCGTGAAGCGATCAGGGGCCCCTCCATGCGCTCAGGGGGCCTTGTGTATTCAGAGGGTTTTTCTGTTTCTTAGAGTGCCCTCGTCAAGTTATCAGAGCTTACGAGGCTCTCATGGGCTGTAGGGGCCTTTGGCGGTCTGAAGGACCCTCATACGACCTACGGGGCCCTCAAGACCGCCTTCAGAACTAGCTGAGCGACTCTATGAAGCTATTCGTGGGCCTATCTAGCAGGGACCCATGGACTGCTTGCCCCTCAGTTCTAACATTTTTTTCATTTTTCAATTAAAAAAAAATATTTGGGCCCCTGTAAGTTTAGCCCCCTCCTGGAGGAAATCCTGGCTACGCCCCTGAATTCCGGAATCAGGTGCTTCGAGTATGGCCTTGATACTGGCAGACGACAGGCCACCTATAAAACAGCACAGTTTATCAAACTTCGCTCTATAATCCGACCTAACTTTTCAGTGATGGCATGCAGACTGTGACGCCACGATCCCTTTTGGTTGACCATTTATTCTCCATTCAAAAACAGTATTTTACCATCAAATACCAGTAAAACGCCGTTAGGGCGATGAACGAGAGAGCGCAAAGGTGAGTCGTTTACGTGCCTGAGTGTGAAATGGTACCCCGACTGACTTGTGTGCAACACCATACTAACCGGTCCCTAACGTTGTGCCATATTTTAGCGCAATAATTATTGAGATGTGTCCGTGGGAACCACAAGTATGTTTACGCTTCACGTCCTGAATGTATACTTGAGTGCACATGTCCTGTTGTAATGTAAGCCTAAGTGTATACTATAGTACACAAATCAAGAAACGAGCGAATCCTGATGGATACCATAGTATACACATTCAATAAGTAGGATTTAATTTTGCGGTTTAGGCATGACAATTATCTTAATATGTGTCTTACAGTCACGATACAATAAAGTTTTTTTCAAGAGAGTGGAATATAAGATATAGGGCACTTGCATCATCGGGTGGCATGAAATGAAGTCTGAAGTCCGGATGTATACTATAGTATACAATCAAGTACGATAACACATTTCGTCAAAATTACGAACGCTAAAGCAAAAATAACTATACACATATTTGCACAGCACCTTCCTCATAACTAACAACATGTCAAAAATGATGATAACATGGCATGATAATAAGAAAAAAAGAAAACATGTCGGAGCCTCACCTGAACGCGTCCGTCGCCCCGACATAGCAAAGTCGAAAAGGCCCCTGGCGGCAAATTTTGCAACCAAAGGTTTGTTTTTGGCACCAGATGGCAGGCATTGGATCAGTCTGAGGTATGACCATAGCTATTGCGATCTCTGAGTACATCGGAGCGATATAGACGGCGCTGAAGCCATGTATACTATAGTGCACCCGGGGTCTCTAGAGGATACACTAAATGGGTATAAGTATTGCACATGCAATATGCATTTATACTGCTAACGATGTAAGGATGCGCCAGACCTGTAAAACGCGAAACTTTTTGGGCTCGCTGATAAAGAATGACGAGAGCGTTGAATCATAATAAGTCATTCTTCTGATTTTCAATGGAGCCACCCCTCGGAATGGGGACACTGTATTTACAGACCAGCCGTTACGATACATTGTCAGGTAGTCACGTTTGAACTAAGACGGTATGAACACGATTGAGGCATTCGTGATGTAGCAAAATGTGATGTCGTCACGATGTAACTGATATATAGCAAGAAGACAATTGATGTATGTAGGTCAGGGAATCAGAATACCCTTGGATTCAGTAAGAGTTGATTTCAAAACAAATGTATCGGGTCTCTTCCATATCAACCGTGTTCTTGTGCTGTCAGTCATAAGTCAGTATGGAAATACGTTCATGATTGAACATGTACTCGCATCATCCCTCAAATGGATGAATTTAGTTTGTTCCTTTTTTCTATCAGACAAGGGCTACGCGTCATTTATCCCTTTGTGCTGTTCGCGGCGAACGTTTTTCCGAGTTCTAGCCCTCGCCGCGCTGGCAGCGCTTGTCACCAATATGACGTCCCCTCTCTACCGTTTCAGGTGTTTCGTCCACTCCACACCGTCCACAATGGTGGACTACGCTCGGAGGAAGCCCAACATCCTCCTCAGCACCTATGGTGAGGGGGTGTGCGGCCGCCGGGGCTGCTTGCCTGCCCAGAGAGAACGACTAGCGCTGCATCAGCTGACTGCGGATAGAGGGGAGGAGCGACTCCGCTACCTCGTCACTCTACCCGGCCCGGAGACGGAGCCGGAGCCGGGGCACAAGCTGGCCCCGGAGCCGGAATCGGGACCCGGACCCGGGCTGGGGTCCGAGTTTGGACTGGAATCGGAGTCCAAGTCTGGATCGGAATCGGGGGAGGAATCCGGTGATGATTCCGGTCAAGAGCTGGAGTTTCGTGAGGATGCCATCGAGAGGTAAGTCGGATTGTCAGTTGCTGTTTATATGCCCTTTTTCAGGAAAAAAAAACATTACATTACACATGATGAGCGATCAGTGATGCAACGTGAAGATTTTTGCGCGATTTTTTCCTGATTATCTTTGGAATGCAATGCTGGACGGTTGATTCATCACAAAATATCTACACGACTATGTATCTGTAATTCAAAGCTTCAGATCTTTGAAGAGGTCGCTTGATTTTTTTAAATTATCTATGTCAAACTCAAGCGTTATGATAATGGCCGTGTAATGATTTAAATATGTGTTCACTACGTAGTTAAACAACTGCGAGTATTTATATAGGTGCTTTAGTTAGATTCATGGTAGACTCTCGGATAGATTCTTTGATGTTCGAAGAAATTAGGGACGATTCAGGCTGCACTTCGTTTTGAAGCATCGAATCGCATCAAAGACATCATCGACTAAATACTTCACGGAAGCGCTTCCATCGTGTCTTTCTTCAAAATGTTGTATCAGAGGAAAATCACGACCTGCTTCACTCTTACTATCTGCCAATGTCCACATGTCACGATGAATTGTCGGTTCACATCTCGAAACCGACACCGCTATCAGCCCTCAGTTCACGTGCTGCTCTATCATCTGAGTCACCGTGTAAACACACCTTTAGATGAAGTGCCGCCCAATTGAACTCATGCTCATACGAGAACTGCGAATCGCCGAGACAGAAAACTGGCCTCTGATATCGACCAAGGTGGTCTGAAGGGTCGGACAAGGACAGAGATCGGATCAACATCAGCTTCTGGATGTGGTACCCGGCCTTGACCAGATGCTAAACATGTTGACGGCCTGGTTGATGAGCTGAATGTGTTTGCTGAGATGACTTTCAGATCAAAGGGCCGATATATACGGGCCTGCAAGGATGCAAGGCCTGTTTTCTTATTCAAATCTCTCTCTCTCTCTCTCTCTCTCTCTCTCTCTCTCTCTCTCTCTCTCTCTCTCTCTCTCTCTCTCTCTCTCTCTCTCTCTCTCTCTCTCTCTCCATCTCTCTCTCTTTCTCTCTCTCTCTCTCTCTCTCTCTCTCTCTCTCTCTCTCTCTCTCTCTCTCTCTCTCTCTCTCTCTCTCTCTCTCTCTCTCTCTCTCTCTCTCTCTCTCTCTCTCTCTCTCTCTCTCTCTTCTCCTGTCTCCGTGCATCTATCCGTGCACTTGCTTATCTATACTCCTGTGCTCCTACCTATCTTCGGCCGCCGTTTTCTCTCCCTATACCACCGAAAAGCTGCAGTGCCGGCCGTTTCGTGGACGGCATTGTGTGCGTTTGAAGTGACGACTTGTGTTCCGCTTACAGATATTTTGCCGGTAGCCCAGGCTTAGGCAGTGTCCGCGGAAGTTGGCTGGAACCTCTCCAAGACTGCAGCTCAGAAGGATCGCGCAAGGATGCATACTTGCACCACCACAGGAAGAAAGAAACCAAGCCAGGTTCGTATACGAATAATAACTACTAAAATATTATAGTAGTTATCATCATTCCACGACATCATAGTAGTTAACAACCAATTCCAATATCTCACTCCCACAAGCATCTCGGTATTACCCTTTCTCAAGATTTGCGCTTTCATCAACATGTAAATGACATCATTTTAAAAGTCAATAGATCCTTAAGTCCTATCTACCCTATAGCATCACTTTTACCAAGACACGTACTGGATCTCATTTACCGCATATACATCCGACCCTACTTTGACTATTGCGACATTATTTATGATGGAAGTATCACACTGACTGACTCCTTACGACTGGAAAGACTTCAAAACAGGGTAGCTAGACTTGTGACAGGAACTCTACGTAGGACATCGACTGATAAACTGAGACAGGAATTAGGATGGACTACCCTCAAAACGAGACGGAACATTCACAAACTCACAATGTACTACGCACTCAGGCAACCACAATCACAACTTCCTACATACATCACTTCCATCATTCCTAACACTCGATCGCAAGACACCGGCAGACTCCTAAGAAATTCCAACATACAGACACTGCCCAAGAATAGGACTACATTATTTCAAAACTCATTCGTACCATCAACCACTAAGCTATGGAACACACTTCCTAACAACATCCGCAGTGAAACATCCATTAAACTTTTCAAAAAGGCCCTTCTTAAGCATTTGGGAACCCCTCCCCCTCCTCACTATTTCTCCTACGGTACCAAATTTGGAAACAGGGTTCACACTAGGCTAAGGGTCGGGATGTCTCAGCTCAATGCTCACCTTTTCCCCTTACAGCTTTCTGATTCCCCTCAATGTCAATGCGGGTCACCCAGTGAAACTGTTCGTCACTTTCTTTTATAGGGGAGATCCGTGTAAGACGCCCAGGGTCGGTAAGAGGCCCCATCGCTTTTTTTACCAAACCAATAATGTTATTTATTTTTTAATGTTCTTGTAAAGCAGAAGCCCTCTTGAAACAACAACTCACGAAACCTGAGGTATCAGGTGCGTCGCAGCGACTTTTGGTAAGCCTGTTTCTGTTTTTGCCCCTTTACTTGCTAGATATATGCATCTTTATCACCCTTATATATCTGAAAAAAACAATGGCTATCAAATGCAATCTTTTCTCATCGAAATTGTCACATGTTAGCTTCAGAATAGACCATGTTCTGGTGCGCTGCAAATGTCTCATAAACCATAAATATTGTGGACGTTAAAACACTGTATTTTTTTAAGAGGCCCTCCCTTCGAGGATGATAAAACGCCCCCCGATAAAAAACGCCCCCGATGCTAAAACGCCTGCACCTGTGGCAGGCGTGGCATTCTTTTTTCAAGGAGTTTGTTTTTGTTTCTTTTTTCTGTTTCTTTTCTTAGAGGTTATAGGTACAATTTTCGTTGGTCATCAGCGTTTGGTTGTGCTAGTTTTCGCATTGTTCGAGCGCTTTGGAAGTGTTATTGGTTTCGATAACACCGTATTTGCTTAGCTTTTCGAAATAAAAGGCCTTGCAGCTGTGTTCGCAAAGCGTCTTTTACAAGTCGACTTGACTTTTAAAACGCCCGAGGGGGGGGGGGGCGTCTTACCATACCCATAGTGTAAGAGGCCCTTTTGCAACTTTTTCCAAAATGTTAAAGTTTACGGTTTGTGTACCCCCTAGATTCATTTTGAATGCAAATATGTATGGGAAAATGATGCATGCTCACAGCGCATGCACACGTTAGCGCTTAAATATTATCAGTTGTCTAAAAATAGTAACTGAGCTTAAGGGGGGGCCTCCTGCACCACTCTCCCCTACTGTCCTATTTACCGTAATGTTCGTGATCGCCTGCTTAGAGCCTTGAGCATCCATTTAGAAATTAACGTTTCTGTTCTCCGCTCCTCTGATTTGCTAACTTTGTTATTAAATGGACCCAGTCCTGCGAGAGGCAGCGACCGGGTGGTGGCCCAGCTCTTTCAAAAATTCTTATCCGATACAGGACGTTTCAAGTAGCCTATCGGGTTGGCGGGCTGGCCCCTCGGGCCGGCCGGGGCCGGAGCGGTCGGGCGGATCGGCGGTGCGGTGGTGGCGGCGTGGTGGCGGTCGCTGCGGGTGTGGCGCGTGCGTGCGTGCGGTGGTAGGCTGATCCGACTCGGGCGATAGCACGTAAGAGCCGAGAGGTGCTGCAACTTAAGCAAAATTGCTTTTGCACCAATTGGCGATCACTGTTTTGTACGTGTCCTGATTAATGAAATAAATTTATTCTATCTATCTATCTATCTATCATATACGCGTACATGATGCTGGATGCATGCTGGACACATAGATTTATTTACATATTTGCATTCATGCTGCGAAAATAATGATAATCGTTGAACTGCGTTGTTACATATGATTCTCGCTTTTCTGGTATCTGCGTTGTGATATACCTAATTTTTGGTATTCTAGAATTATGTTCAGCTACGCATAACGGCGTTTTCATTCTGCATTTCCTGGACGGCGACAGAATTATTTTATCGCTCTTTTGTTACTACTCGTCTTATCATTTTGTTGCGAAAGATACAATTATTTGTCACTTGAAAAATATTGCAGTAGCGATGCGTTACGATTAAATATAGTCAGGCTATCTTTCAAATCAGGAAATTTCCTTTACGAAGGAACCTAGACAATGTTATGTCATGTGTACTTAACCCTCGCCGGCCGAGGGGGGGGGGGGGGCGGGTGCCGCCCCCCCCCCCATAGGGTTTTTTTCGCGATAGCTCCGAACACGCTGGCGATAGAGAGCTGAAACTTGGCATACTTGACCTTTGATCCAAGTCGGATCTTTTGACACCAACCGTATTTTTGGGTCAGGTCAGGTCACTGACCTATGACGTCATAAGTGAACCTCTGCACGGTCTTCAGATGTCGCAACTTCGCAACGCCCTCACTGCCAGAGGAGATGTCACAGGGAAATGAAACTTGCAGGATCTAGTATCCATTATGAGTCCCACAACTTGTATATCTCGGATTTTTCCTAAAGGTCATATGAGGTCAGGTCATTTTCGTGACCTCACCATTATAAGTCAATGGGGAAAAATTCAAACTGCTATTCTGGCGCCGGGAACGATCTCCAACTATTTCAAGCACACAGAATCGTGATTTGATGCACTCCTTGCAAGGTTAGATGCGTCACTTTTGTAATGTTGACCTTGCGTGACGTCATTTATGACGTCATCAAGGTCAAATTAGTTTTTCGTCAATAACTCTTGATCAAATTGAGCTAGCGAGTCGGGAAAGCCACCAATGGACTCAGGAAGGCCTGCCGAATCGAATGATATGCGACATGACCTCTTTCGACCAACTTCGTGACCTGGGGGTGCTGACCTGACCTTGACCTGAGGTCAACACCCCAAGTTGACCTGACCCGGACAAAAAGTATATCATTCGACGCGCCTGAGCGAGGCGAACACGATGCTGCCAAAATCGGCGCTCTGCGGCCGTTTTTTGTGAAGTTATTCACCAAAAACTGAACCGTACCCTGAGGCACTTGACCTGACCTCAGAGGTCACCGGATGATCTAGGACCTTAAAATCGGGTACCAATCTCTGCGTCTCGTAACGGCGCACACGCTCGTTTTTTCCGCGACGCGCTAGCTCCACCAGGGGCGAAACGGCGAGGGGGGGTCGTACCCGCCCCCCCTCGGCCGGCGCGTATGTAGAAAACCAACAGGTCCGGCGAGGGTTAACTGTGTCACTGTACCGTATAGTGACCTTGGGGGAGGGAGAGGGGTATTTATAGTCACCGTGGATATCTGTAGTTTCGCTGGTTTGGCAACAGTACAGTGTACAATCTAATTTTATGTATTGCAGGAACGACCTTTGACCCATTATTGACCTTTTCCTCTGCCCCCCCCCCCCAGCAGAGGTCACGTGGCAGGTGACGGTGTGCCGCGGCTCGCGGGGGCTCGGGCTTAGCGTAGAGTCTGCCCCGGGCGCTGCGGGCCTGGTCCGAGTGAAGAAGGTGTTCCCCTACCAGCCGGCGGCGCTGACTGGCAGAATCAGACCGGGAGACGTGCTGCTGAGCGTCAACGAGATGCCCGTCAGGGGGCTCTCTGTTCAGGTGAGTGATCAATACGATATGGGTACTAATTACTGGTTAGCTCTTCAGGCAAAGACTAAGGTGGTGATATTTAGCATCGCTTCGAAAAATGAATAAAGTGTTAAAATTTATAAAACGTTTTTTTTTTAGCCAACCCACTTCGTTGATGGCAGTTGCGATGAATGATGGATAGCTGACTATTGTTAAACTTGAACAATAGTTACTGTTAGTCTATTCATCATTCATCAACATTCATAAGCAAGTGAGCTCGGTTCGGATTTACCAGAGCATTTGAGCCACTGGTCCTTGTACCCAGCCCTGCCTTTCGCAGGGGATGCTAGACTACCTATAACTTCGTGATGCTTCTAAAGGCTGAAACATACTCTTTCCGCGTTCAGGAAATCGCATGCGAGAGCTTATTCAAATACATTATAATTCTTCCCGCATCAATCGCATCCGGGAGGTGCGTGCGATTGATGCGAGCGTGCTTACATGTATTTATTGGCTCTCGCATGCGATTTCCTGACTGCGGAAAGAGTCTGTTTCAGGCATAACGGTGTGTGTTTCCCGATATGTTATAATAAATAATGCTCGTGTGTTACTCATAACTCGGACATTAGATGGTGGTGCCGTTTCTCCTTTTTCTTACCGTCTCCACCCTCGTCTGTTACAAGAAGTACTGCACGTTCAGTTGCTCCTAACCACCCTCTTCTGTTACAGGAAGTACTGCACGTCCTCCGTCTGGCGGGCTCCGAGGTCCTGCTTTCACTGAGTCGCCCGGCGGATGACTCCTGCGGCCCGCCGACCGACTCCTCTGACTCTGACTCCACTGGATCGGTGTCAGAGTCGCGAGTCTCCCCGGAGCCCGGTGGAGAGTCAGAGTCAGGTTCGGCGAGTCGCGAAGGACTACGTCTGCCGCTCGACACCGATAATTACGGGGTGAGTCGCGGAGTTATAGAATGAATGAGTCAGTATGTTGGAAGAGTCATATGAATTCAAGTAACGCGGAACTAATGAATTTCGGAGTTGCAAAGTCGGTTAGTTATGAAGTCTTTAGTTACGTATAGGTAAGTAATCGCGTGATGGAGTTACGTGGTACATAATTACGCGGTCACGATTCACAACGTCACAGATTTACGTAGAGAAAGGATACGAGGTCAAAGGTGAAAAATGCTCAGCCATTATAATTCAGAAATACGATACGATATCCATCGCCGACATTTGCATGGACACACGGGTTATATTATTGAGGTGGCTCTGAACTCGAGACCAGAGATGCTATACCTAGTCAAAGCGACCTGAACGGTCTCTTAGTATCGGGATTCGGGTCCGTAACGTGCTAATCAGATTTAGCTAGAGCTGTTATTGCTACGAGAGACAGAGACAGATAACGGCCATCAATATCAGTCGAGTGGGTTGTTCAGATCGCTGAAGAAGATACGACTTTCCCCTTTGATCGAGAAGAGTTCTTCAATCGTATAGGACTTCTAATAAAGTTACGGTTAGGCGGCACTGGAAAAGATAGCCCAAGAAATAGATAATGGTCGACTGATTTTAGAATCTCTGGTCATCAGGCTGTAGCCAGCTCATAATAAACAACCAGCAGGTACCTATTCGCCTGATTTAGAGCCTGTTGTAACCAACACAAACACAGACTCCTGGAATTCATTCGCTCTGCGCTGGGTGGGGTATTATGACATCACAGCTCACACCTGGTTCGTGCCTAGACTGCCAGTCACGCCCCCCCCCCCGGGTCGCCCCCCCCCCCCACGGTCGTCGCCCGGTCGCCGGGTTCAGGCGGGGTTGGCACGGACGGCGCTGACTCATCTGGCATCCCCGGCGGTCACAGGCGATGCCAGTCCGCCCGCTCTGCCATCTAGTGATGCGGAGAGGAACCTTTGGTTTGGCTCGCAGCCACGCTGTTTTGTGGAAGCCTGAGCGATTCCAGGCACCGTTTGCCATAGGCGCGGGAGCCGGGGGGGCAGTGGGGGCAGCTTGCCCCCCCCAACTCTGGGGCCGTTGGGGCGGTGCCCCCACAACTTTGAGACGAAATACTGCACTTTTTTGTAAATTTTTGTCTTTCTTTTTTTGTAGGGATGAAAAATAAGTGGCCTAAAACCGGTGAGAAAACTAGATTTGGGGGTACCCTAGGTTCATCTCCATTATGGTGTGCCCCCCCCCCCCCAGTCTGAAAGTAGTTCCCGCGCCTATGCCGTTTGCTAATAGTTCTAGACAGAAAAGAAGCGAAGGTGGTCTTCCAAGTGACACCGATGACAGAAAGCAGAGCAAATGGCCTGTCTTCTGGGTCATTGCGATGGTTTTTCTCCTAATGCAAGTCACTGATGGCCCAAGAGCCCGTATAATTCGTTGACCCGGGCGGTGTGAGACGCCAAGCTAGCGTGACGGACAAGCTGGCATTAGGCCTGTCGAGCTAGCTGCCACTTTGTGATGAAACTTGGCACATCTCGCTCTGGTTTTCGTGGCAAAGTGATGGACACTGCCGTCTCTTAGCCGGGTAGTTTGTCTTTGGCTTCGACAGTTTGCGCAGCTGGAGCTACGCAACATGCCGCAAGGGTACATTTGAGTTGCGTTGCGGTGGTTTCGTAACGTCGATATCGCGTTTCAATCGGTACTTCTTGTAGTGGACGTCTGCCTCTGCGGATCTAGACCATAGCAGAACTGGGACCCACGCTCCGCAGTTAGTAACTGTCGGCTCACCTTGTTGGCTGGGCGGGATGGCCTCATCACCGACCACGCTTGTTGACCTCTGATGACCCTCTGCTGACCCTTGATGACGCCAAATACCTCTAACCTCAACTGATTTTGTGGGCCTTTATTGATATTCGCCTTCCCCATTTGCAAAGTCGTCAGATCTAGGCTATGATCTAATACGCTAAATGCCGGCCTCCTCACATATACCGATTTCTTTTTTCTACGTACTGACCTCCGCCGATCTCCAAGTAATCTTTTTCGACTCTTACTGACATATTGATGACCTCCGCTGACCCTTACTGACCTCTCATTGACTTCTGTCACCCCCTTGCTGACATCATGGTGACGTTTTTGCCTTGGTAACCTCGCTGTAACCCTTGCTCACCTTTCGTTGACCTCTGTGACCCCTCTGCCCGCAGACCTTCGCCGTCGAGCTCCAGAAGGTGAACAACACTCTGGGTCTCAGTCTGCGCCGCACGGACGACACTGTATTGGGTCACACGATCAGGGCCAAGGTCCGAGAGCCAGCCATCAGTGACCCCAGGGTCAGGGTCGGAGACAAACTCATCAAGGTGAGACAGTGAGAGACTAAGTGAGACAAGCTTGTCAAGGTGAGACAGGGAGAGACAAACTGTTTAAGATGAGACAATGAGAGACAAATTGAGACACATTCAGTCAAAGTGAGAAAAAATGTGACGATGTGATCGAGGTGAGAGCAATGGTGAGGCAAGTGGGTAAAGCAAGAATTTGCGAGGACTTAGAGTGAAACCGGCGAAAGTCAGATAAGAAGATAGGGACTTCGAACCGAGCTGCTTCGATTCACATGAGAGATACAAAATAGATAAGAAAGGAGCAATGTATTTGTTCGGAGGTGATGGTGGCTAGGTATATGGACACTAGACAGCACAGGAGCACCTCGGGAACGTAGGTGCCTGGGCGGACTGAGGGAAAGCGGCGACATCTATTGATTAGCGCCGCCTGCCACCTGGTGCCGTCGCGCGGCTCTGTGCTTTTGCTCGCTTTGCGACTGTGTGGGACGGAAACTGACAATAGTTCTGTTATGTCATGGGTTATTCGCAATCTCTCTAATTATGTCTCTAAGTCATGCTTCCTGCCTCTAACACCGTGTAATCTACCTCTTACTTGCACCTATCGCCTTCAGCCACTAGTTTTTCCCCATCATATCTAACACTTAGTTCTCGCCTCGCCATGTTTTCTTTCACTCTAACCCCGGTTCCTGTATCGGGCGAAGTTTTTTTTCTCTCTCTCTCTCTCTCTCTCTCTCTCTCTCTCTCTCTCTCTCTCTCTCTCTCTCTCTCTCTCTCTCTCTCTCTCTCTCTCTCTCTCCCTTCCCTCCCCTTCTTTTAACGACAATACCCCTCGCCCCTCAGGTGAATGGTATCGACACAACGGCCATGTCCCACGCCGAGGTGGTTTCCCTCCTTCGGCGCTGCTCGGAGAGAGTCACCCTGACCCTCTATAGGGACGGCATGGCCACCCCTGGCAGCCCCGGCTCGCCTGTCTCCAGCCGATCTACGAGGCTCAGGTATGTGTCAGTGGACTGGTGGGTGGGATAGGGTTGGGGTGGGCTTATGGGGGTGGGGTGTGATGTGTCAGGATTGCAACTACTTGACTCATACCCCTCAGTTGTTTTACGTTTCAGCCTAGCTTGTGCCTTAGACTTTTGTTCACTGAGATCTGAGACGCATGAGAAATGCCTGTATGTGGCATAGATAAACCTGCGTTTGGCTTTATTCTAATTTAATTTATCATGATTTAAGTATGCTTCTATCTAAATGAGAATTTTGAAACGATAAGGATGTAGTGAAATCAATCCAACCCATCATCTGCCTTCCCAGATGTTGTAGTGTGAGTTGAGCCCTCATCTCCTCTGTCTTATCCTCTCTCCCTCCCCCACAGACCTGAAGCAGTCGAGATGCTCACCGGCCTGGCGTTCCGTCGCGAACGCAGCCTGCCCCCATCCGGTGAACTCAGTCCCGGTTGTTCAGGCACCGCCCCAGAGCTGGGCAGACGACGGTCGAGGGCTGAGCAGGTTCGCAGGCTGAGCTGCGGCAGCAGAGGCTCGCCCAGACTCAGGAGGAAGAGGATGACGCCCAGTCCAGATGTGACAGGTGGGTGGATTTGAAAGATGATTAGAATGCTTGAGTGGATTGGATTGGCAGAGCTGAAACTTACGCTAAGCAGAGCTGAAGTTGTTGAAATGCTGGATTGCTCAAGACTCAGGTCCTGTTTCCAAATTTGAATGGCCTAAATTACTGTCTGGATCGAGTTCCAGGCCATGCGATTCCGATAGAAGTTGAGTAAAAAATGCTACAAATGCGGTCAACTAAGATGCCGGGGAAACCACTCGAGTTTAGAGAGCATATTACTAGTGCAGGTCAGTGAGTGATAACTTGCGATATAAGGAGTTTTCCAATATAGATTCCACACATTTTCTACCAAATTGCTATCACAAGTCGTTTAAGCCAGCCTGTTATCACCTGCTCTGTGGCCGGGTGCCATCCTCGGGCTAACGCGAACTGACAGATCGAAGATCGTTCAGTCGGGAGACAAAAATAACAGGTCGCGTGGGCGGCAGCTTTAGCTGCTCTGCCTGGCAACAACTCTTGTTTGGCGACCTACTTGATGGTGGGACTATTGTGGGGGGGGGGGGAGCGTATTGGTTTGTGGGCGTCAGAACGCTTGAAGGAAGGACGATAACCGAGTGGCACAGTTTTATAATCGAGCTCCAGTTTCCATGCCCAGTCCCGATCTAGTCAGCTTGTTCTTCATAAAATCCCAATCCAATGTCGTCTAGTCTCTCATTGTCCCCACCTAAACTTAGTGTGACTCCTTGTAGTTAGATTGCACTTTGTCCCTATTTAGTATACTTGTAACGACCTATGTAGTATATGAGCCTGGTAACTGTAGTCTCACCCAGTACCGTATAGTCCCTCTTGTCAACCCAGTTGCCTCGTCTGGTTCCGTCTAGTCTCATTCATTCCCCACCTAGTCCCTCGTCTAGTCCCACCCCTCCCCACATATGTAGTACCCATCCCTCCCCCACCTATTCCCCACCTAGTCCCAATCCCTACCCATCTATTCCCTACTAGTCCCCACTTAGTCCTCAGCTAGGCCCTACCAAATCCCCATCTCTCCATCACCCAGTTTCCATCCCCTCCCCAACTAGTCTCAAACAAGCTCCGTCCCTCTTCCACCTATCCCACACCGTCCCCATCCCTCCTCACCTAACTATTCCCTACTACACCTTTTTGCGATAGCTTTTGACCATTGGGCAAAACATTTGTACGCAATCGCCATATAGATGGCGCTACAAATGGGCGGTTGGGCAAAAAGAATCACCATTGTGCAAAACTGTTCGGCGATCCTCCTCTACAACTCGACATTGAGCGAATGGTTCAACATTGTGCAAAACAAATCGTCAATGGTCGAAACTATTCGTCATTGAGCAGCCGGGAATTCATGATTGGCCAAAACCGTCTATGCATATTTCAGCATTGGCCGCAGGGGGTATGGAGCAGCTCATGGGGCCCAATCCTTGACATTTCTCTCATATAACCGAGTGGATGATGGAACAAGCACACCGGGCGGCCAGTAAGTGTTCACTGGACGAGACCGACCTCAGCTGGCACACCCAGCATATACGTTCGGCTGAGTTCGGAGCTCATCATATTTCTTTGTGCGCATTAGTCCCACACTTAACAGATAAACAACACCTTGCGCTCATTCTAAGTCAGCTGAACGGCATTGCCTTGGGGTTCGAAATGAGATAGGCCTCATAAATTGGCGAAACCTTGCCCTCGTGAGGGAGTTCCAGGATACCAAGGCGACCGTCATGGCAGATGTGCACGGCGTTCGTCAGCTTCCGCCATGAGGACAGTTTGTTTATTCGATGTGCCAATAAAGAGCTCGTCTTTGAATAGGCTATTTACATCATTATAATTTTTGTTATAAAGTGCCCACCGACCAACGTAGGCGTGCTAGGTTGGAATGGTATGGTGCATTGACGGAAATGACTTTAATGCATTCGAATTCACATATTGAATTCAGCTGTATGTGTAGCATTGCAAGCAGAAACAAAAAACTGAAGGGAGCACATTGTTTTTTCTTGTTGACACTTGACTAAATGACGTCAAAGGTAATTTAAAAAAAATGTCGGTGGCATTGATTGGCAATGCTCACCGGTAAGATAAACGTACTGCATGGCTTGATTGACAATTACTGTACTGTTCCATTTAGAAAGAAGCTAAGGAACGACTGACTTATTGCTTAGAAATGCCCATTATGCTCACGCTCAAGTGGTGAATGGTCGAGGTGTGTTAAATCCATTAAAAAACAGCCTGGATATCCATTTATTCTGTTTTGAACATTGCTGAAGTAATATCACCAAATGCCGAGAAGTTTTGCTCAATGCCGAAGTCATGGCGAAGTGTCAAACTGTTTTGCAGATCGCTCATTTCAGTGTTCAATCTGTTTTGTCGAATGGCTGAAATGAAACACACGATGCCGGAATAGTTGTGCTCAATGCCGATTGTCGAAATGGCTCTTCAAACAGATATGGCCAATGGTTGAATTCAATTGCAAAAAGGTGTAGTCCTCTACCTAGTCCCCACCTAGTCCCAATCCCTCCCCACCTAGTCCCTGTCCTCCTTCCCCCTCCCGTCCCCCGTGTCGCTCACCGGCTCACACCTGTTGTCGAATCGATATATCGATCGGTTCAGCCGGCCGGCCGGCCCGTCGGTACTGTGTTGGACCTGCCGCAGTAGCAGCTGGTATCGGCCGAGCCAGCAGTGCTGGGCTGGTGCCGCCGAGTGTAGGAGGGCGCAGTGAAGGGACGATACGGGGTAGGTTAGAGGAGTTTTCATAGGAGCAAGGGAGAAGAAGAAGGCAGGAGGAAGTTTTTTTGGGGGAAGTGTGACAATCGTTGGTGAGAACATTTCTGTGAAAAGTTGAAAGTCTTGAGGATTGATGAGGATTGAGTGAAAAGGTACGAGAGGAATGAAGAACTGAGGCACAACGTTTCAAGCATCTGCCCCCGGTCTCGAACCCTTCAAGCAGTAAGACGTTTGAACAGCTTTAGTTTTGAAGTGTTTGAGCTCAAGTCACCAAAGTAGAACGTCTCTGATCTGACCGAAATAGCAAATACTTTTATCGACTTGCTCTTGGAGTTGTGTCGGTAGGATGGTGGTTGAGGTGCTCTTCATCGGTATCCTTTGAACTCTGAAGACCTCCAATCGCAGCTGATTAGTCTGAGAAGACCCTTTACAAGCTGTCCTGCCCAGAAGGCTGCTGACAGACAGGTTAGTTGGAAGGTGATATAGCGTTGACGCGAGAGAAAGTGGAAAGCGTGATGATTTATGAATGGGTGTAGGAGCATTGAGCTAGCTGCGAATCAGTTCGTCAAATGTAGCTTATTTTACCCTTATCAAATCACCAGAATTACGAAACGTGACGTTCAATAGATGGGATTTACTACTTGTAATAGATAATAAGCTGTGAGAGTAATGATATCGTCATTATTGACCCGCTGCTGGTATTCATTTCCATCAGAGATACCTTTGATGGAATTACCCACATTATTGCTGTTCCTGTAATCCGCTTAGTGAACAAGATAAGCGGCTTTCACATAGCATAGACGGCCGGCAGTGTTATGTACATTTTTTCGGCCATTGGAGATGCGCGTTCAATTGCATACGTGTTCCATGTCCTGGAGATGTCCACTTTCTAGACGGTGTAGCCTTCTTTGTCGCATAGTTATAAGTATGTATAACTTGGACCATGTTCTTGAGAGTATAAGTTCTCCTGTTTCAGTTCGATCCACTAGGATCTGCCTTTTTTGATCAATTAACCCTATTAGTGGCAGGGGGGTTGTTTTTATCCACCCCTCAGGTTTTTCGGGAACATCTCCGAAACCGCTGAAGCTACGATGCTGAAATTTTCTGACTTTTCCTAAAACTAAATTGGGCACATTCCCTGAAAATTTCAAGTTCATAACTTTACCAGGGGCGGCTCCAGAGCACTGGGAATTGGGGGGTCCTACTCGTGAAGCGAGTCATTTGGGCGAAGATCACGATGCTGCACCAGTTTTACGAACAGTGAATGAAAGGTATCATGTGATAACATATACAGTTATTGTGCATCCTCTTTTGACACGTTTTTGCTATAATAGGCGGATCCAGGCGTCCAAAAAGGGGGGTTATGTTTTACCTCCCAACATAGGTGCCCTGACACCGCCTATGCATGACCAATAGAATTGTAGTCATTCTCTCATAAGAAAATTGTAACATAACAAGACCATTACCACCCTTTTTAGAAACAGTACCAACAAAAGCCTTATTTACTATACTTTTTGTGTACCCCCAATCTCAATGATCTGTATCCGCCTATGATTTTTGAAAATGCATATTTTTAGGATCCATGTGAATTCCTGGTTCATTCTCTATCGATCGGCAAAAGTTGCGTTAAGATTGGTTCAGAAACCTGGCCGTGATAAACAGTCTAAAATGTATCTGCAATTTGCCCGTTTTTACCCCCCTCTACCCCCCTATTGACATTTTTTAATTTCTATTTGTTAGAAATGTAGATCACGTTGAGCGAAATCGAATGCCGTTTGAATTTTGAAAATCGGCCCGTTAGATCTCGAGATATCAAGGGGGGGTCGTAAACAGCCCCCCCTGCCACTAATAGGGGGTAGCCAGGAGCCTGCCACTAATAGGGTTAAAGTCGTCTCATTTTTGGATCGACTGTATCCTTACCGAAATGCAAAACAAACCGATAACTTTCCCTAAGATTGTTACTATAGCCGCTTAGGCGCTAGATAATTTCATTCAGATCTTGATGTAACCGCAGTTTACAAATTAATCCACGATCGATTGCTCTTCTTCAAATTGACAGTAATATGTTTATGTTACAGGCAAAGTGAAAACTCGGGCATTTTGCAAAATGCCTAGGCAATTTGCAAAATGCCTGACCGGCCAGGCATTTTGCAAAATGCCCAGGCAGTTTGCAAACTGCCTGACCCACCAGGCATTTTGCAAACTGCCTGAAATATTTTCCCAGGCATTTTGCAAAATGCCTGACATCAAACTCGCACTAGCGGCGATGTATAGGT